ATTTCCTCTGAGGAACTGTTTCGTACGCATTTAAACCGAAATACTCGCCTCTCGTACCGGGTTTCAATGTATGAGGGCAAACTTCGTTGAAATTTCTCAAAATATCTGAAAATTATACTTACCGGATGAAATGAAACAACGATTGTTATACCATAGTACATTCCACGCGGATCCACCTAGAACCAGGTCAATCAAATGCTAATTCGATTCTTTTGACGAAGAAAAAATGAAGTTTTTAGATATTTAATTGCATCGCTTCAGAGTGACCAACTAGTTTTCAAGGGGAGACGCTTAGAAATGTCAACGAGCGACCTGAGACGGAATTTCTAAGTGAAAAGATCTCTGCTTTACATCCTCCTTCACTCCAAACCATCAACAAACTCGAAAATTAAGATGTAAATCGAACAAAAATAAAGAATATCAAAAATGAAAATAAATAAGAGCAATTGATCTACTGATCAATTAATAAGGAAATAACAACATATAATTGGACTCAATCTGTAAGCATCAGGCGTTCCAAGCCTTTTCCTTCTTGGTAGAAAACTGAACGCGACTTAAATTTCTAGAACTGGCGAACACATAAGTTATACACATACGGACCTAACGTCCCACGTAATTAGGTGAGTAGTTCCATCACTCACCGATCTTAAACTTCTCATACCACACACACCAAACTTCAAATCAAAATGAGGCTTTTTGGTTCGTTCTCGACTGAAGTCGTCTTTGTAGCATTCTTCGACGTCTGCTTTTCCTTTGGCATATATTCGTCCTGGAATTTTTGCTTATATGGAAAAATCCTAGACATAAAGTCACGAATTAACTCAGCAACTAAAAACCACCTGCAAAAACTCTGCGAGTTTTCACCCATATTCGGATCTCCTCGTCCAAGCATTCGATATCGGGCTCACCGACAATGTCGTTATCGATACTGATCGAATACGATTGTGAGATCTGCAATGGGTGATCTTCGATTAGCCACGGTCATACGAATTTGTAGCAGAAGGATGAACAATGAAATTCAAGGTATCTCCCAGATCAACGCGGTTCTTCTCTAACTGCGACGTCACCCTCTAGTGTTGAAGTTCTGCATCTCTCTTATAGGAGAGCTAAACTTTAGGCGGTTATCCCCTGCCGATCGGAATTCTTTAACGCTCACCCTGCTTTATAGACATTCCTTTAGAGGTGAACTCTTCAGGATACCCGTTTTTGAAACTCATTATTTACATTTCCCTGCTTCTACAGTACCTCTCGGAATACTGTAATAATGAAAATTGTAAAGCACAGTAAAATAACCCACGATCGAGGCGCCGAGAATCAATATCCTATAGTCTAGACCAAACATATCAGGATCAGGTTCGAAGATGGAATCTGCGAACAGCTAGGCTGTTCGTTGAGCTGTTGCGTAGACGTAGTTCAGTCGAGAAACTGCAAATACAATTTGGTTTTCTGGCAACAGTTTTTGTTTTTGACGACAATTATATTTAAAGGTTGTGATCGCTGAAATGGCTGCATACACCCAAAGTGAATTTGTCATGCCATTTGCGCAGAGTGAGCCATGGACCATTCAACTATACGTAATTGCAGAGGTGATTAGAGGTATTTAGCAGAGATACTTCTATCTTAGGGATGTCAAATTCAGGCAAAATCTATACCATGGACCTTGTCTACCAATAAGCTCTTCCGTAGGACGCATTTCCGAGGATTTCTCTCTATCCTTGATCTTGCCTTAAGAGGCAAAATCCCAACCTGAACACACCCTGCGTGTATGTCATGGCGATGTACTGGAAACTGCGTGTAACTCGAGAACCATCTGCGGTTTTGTATTGGAGTGTAAAGTTTCGAAACGCTTACTGATATATGGATTGCTGTCGTGCTAATGGCAAGAAGAGATGCAACGTTCATGACAAAATCAGACGTAAAGGATTTAGGATGTAAAGCAGGTAACCTAGCAGTGAGGAACTATCGTAGCTGGAGCAGGAACACCCCAGAAAAGTTGAGGAGCAGTTTTCTCTTGAGCAGGTTTCCTCGGTGATTTTTATACTCTTCACAGTGTGCTGCTTACTGCTTCTGTGGAGAGTAATAAAATTATGGAAAGATTGCAAGACCTAAGGCACCAGTAAAGCCTCTTAGTCAGAATACATGATAGAATAGACAAATACATGCTTCTGTCAACAAACAAACTTTCAAACGATGAAGAAAATCTTCCTCTCCGTTGTTCACCGTTGGCAGCGCTCCAGACAGTACTAGATGAAAGAAGTTGCGATTCATAAATAGAACCGCTGCTCCACACATATATACAGTGCCAGAGAGACAAGTCAAGACCAGATTCAGCACAAAAAGTACGGGCCTCAAGTTACTTTATGATTCTAGTACTCTAATCCTACGGGCGAGAGTACCTACTAGTCACTTTTTAGCCTAAAGTTCATTCAAAGCTGCGAGATTTTGAATGAAAGTCGAATGAGTGACGCATCCTACTCCGATAAGCGACAAATAATCGCGAAACCTCATCTAACACAGCATCAGATTGGTAATGACCTGGATTCTCTGAAGAATTACCTCATGCAATAGTTCGTAAATCTAGTTGGTAACGTTTGATAGTAAATGTTGTTGGAAGCCTCAAATTTGAAGGTTTTGGTTTGACAACCCTTTGTGGTATTGGATACTCATCCACGCTGGAACACTCATAACAACGACTACACAAAAGTATGGGAAACGAGTTGATGGGACTGCCGCCTGAGGACCGGACGCTACTAATTGTTGAGTCGCCACGTATCCTTGGCCATAGTTATGTAGAATACCATACAGCTTCAACAATCTTTGTTTAACCGATACTTTGTGAAACAACACCTGGCCAAAATCGCACCTTAAGCGACCCTGGCTTACTGTAAAATGACTAGGAAAGAGAAGTAATTCAGTCATTTGAACACTGTAGAGTGAGAATCTGAAGTTAGTAAGACTCATGGATCGCGTACCGTGTACACTCAATAAGACATCTGTTAAAACGATTCGATTCATAGAATTAAATATGCTAAAACTGTGGAAAGCAGCGACAACATTTTCTACCCTTGCGTGATCCAAATGTTAGGTAAGCTAGTTAAGTAAGAACCCTGACACCAAACGAAACGGAAGTCTCTAGGGAATTCGCTGAAGGGATATGGTGTAATAGCAGAAGGTAATTTGTGGAACTTATTCCGAAGATGGCGACGTCAAGCAATTGCTCGAAGAAAACCAGAGTATGAAGCTTTGAATATCTGGAAACAAATTCTCCATGAATAGCATGTCGTCCCGCGAGGCAACCATTTAGGGAGATCAACTAAAAGATGGCACGAAACGAGACAACTAGCTAGGAAACGTTGCGCAATATGAATAGGTATGATGACAATATGATATCATCCGAACGATAGCGACAGCATGCTTTGAAAGCCAGTCGATGAATCTGGGCAACAAAGCTGTTCAACCTTCAACGGAATAACGGCGATACTGGGTGTTGAGTATCGCGATGGGCGTGTAACAACCCGTGAAACAAGCCGTCAGNTGGATAATCTTACTCAAGGCTATTAGACAAAAATCGCCTTTGCTTGACGGCCGGCCTTAAATGATCATCATACCGACTCGGATGTCCGACTTATACGGAAGCCTTGATAAGAGAAGAATAAACAACTAGCTCTTGCTCTCAGGAAATGCATGAGCTCGTAATATAAGGGGGTGAATATGTGAGAATAGACACCGCTATCTCACACACTATCTAGAGATCAATTTCATAATCGAATTTGATTCTTGTGCAGCCGCTAGAAGTCATTTACAGGCTGAACTTCCTTTTAAGAGAATCACGATTATGGAAGGAATATGACCGCATGAAGAACAAATGATCATCAGAGCAAACGATTCCGAGTTTGAACTACTCCGATGTGTAGACGGAACTCCGGAGACCTTAAATTGCGAAAGGAATTCAGTCAACGACTTGCACCCAATGATCAAACAACTGGTCGGCCAGAAAAAAGCCCCATCATTTAAATATAGGATAAGGGCTCGACCACATGACAGATTCCTCAGCCAGGGATGCGGATGGCTTACGGCCCAGCCTATATTTATGTAACTACTGGTATATGGATACTGATACTGCTAAACAAGTCAGTAGCAAAAACACATGTTCACGCTCTCCTTGCTGCTGATACCTACTCGACGAAACTCATCAGGAATTTCCGGCTCACGCATAAGTTCCGCAAAAAGCACTAGGTGCATATGTGTCAAAATAGTTCTTTATTACGCTATTCCTGAACACCTTGGTCATCAATCGCTCTCAGGATAGCAAATGAAAGCAGTGTTCGTGGCTTATCTTAAAAGCTCTTGTTAAGCAGAAGTGTAGAGGAAATGGAATGAAGATCGGATGAAATAACCTCCCGATAACCGAGTACAAAAGGATGCTGACAAGTTCACCGTAATCCAAGTCGTCACGAATTATAGGGGCATCAAAACTTCGATTGGATTTTTACTTTTCAAAATGAATATTACGAAGCACTATTTAATAAAATGTCCAGATTCAGCTTTCAGGGTCAAATAAACGCTGATTTCATTGATTCCAGAGTAAGAACGACTTTCTAGGAATGAAAACGAAAGGAATATGAAAGAATGTTGAAAGGTCAACGAAGCGACGCCAAGAAATGCCACATAATTATACTGGGATTCCGTCGGGATCATATAGGTTACGACGGCGAAAGTACAAATAATGGGGCAGTGCAGGGGTGAGCAGCAAATGTGTCAGGTAGATGAAAAGCGAAATCCGGGCTGAATCGACGAGTTAGGTACGAAAGAGGCGGGACCGGCTGCAATGGCTACGATGGGCAGGGGTGGAGTCGAGCCAGTTAAGTAACCGGCCGAACGCGTACATTCATAATTGCTGACTCATTGACGGTGAAAGTTCGTCTTTCCGGGAAAGGACATAGCCAAGTACCGACGCCTTACCCATTCGACTGAGAAAGGGAAGCCCATACCTTAATCACTCCAATGTGAACAAAGTTGAGATGGAGATGAACCTACTTCGAAAGTTCTTGCGCTAATTGACAGGTGACACTTCAAAAGGCTGGTAAGCGCTATCGAGTGAGTACAAGGAATAAGAGATTAACATCGATACGGTAGGCCACAGTACTCTCGGCCGAATAACCAAAAGGCAGACAGACTTGCCAAAATTGAGTATCTTTTTCTGGGCAGTTTGGATGTGGCTGGTTAAAGTAGTTCCATACTTCTGCTTGAATCAAGGAAGTCTTTGTAAAAATTAGACAATCACTTGACTACGTGTATCAATCTAAACGAAAGCTAACTGACTGGCGCATCTTGACACCCAAAAAATCCCTCCGAAATCAATGACTCCACAAGAACAATCATGCCAGTAGCATTGATTGGTATTAAACTCACTGCGTTCCAAGTGTCACTCCCATACGAAGGTAATCAACTCCCATTTTATGGATACTGAGCCATCACAGAGCGTAAATGAGTCAGGCGTTCCGCTTACATCTTCAGGCCCATGGTGTGGGTCATAACCATTTACAGAATCTTTAACCGTTCAGAGTGAAAACTCACAAATAGCCTTCTCAAATATGGAACTGATCTATTCCAAGCATCTGGTCTCCCTCCAGGCTTCATGAAAGCACCTCACCCTAACCCCAGGCCTGAGCCTATATGCCCGTGCCCAGAGCTAAACCTAAGTTCAATCCGTAACTTCAAGTTTCTGGCCAGCTAGAGCAGCAAATTTCAGACTGGTGGAACTCGTCAATATTGGTATAATTTGTATGAAACGCTACGTCAATTATAATGTAGGCTAAGGAGCCGGAAGCAGGATATTCCAGTCGAGACTCGATATGTATTGTAATTAAGGACCACATCCTATATGCGATATGTGAAGGTTCAACGAGGTTTCGAAATTACACC